AAGGAGGGGCAGAGGGCTAGCTAGCGCGGAGGGGGGGCGTGTGCAGGCTGGGTGGGTGCCTTCCGCGCTGCCCGCCACAGGCAGGGCTGGGTGGCGGTGGCCCCGTTTGGGAGAGGAGGAGTGGGCTGAGCGGCCGAGGCTTGCCGCGGGCTGCCGGGGAGCTGGGGCTGGATGCCGCGGCCGGAGTGGGAGTCGGTTGGGTGAAGGCTGGGAAGCTCCTGCCGAGCCGCCGACCACGGCTGTGGCCTCAGAGCCGCTTCCGAGGCGTCCCGGGAGACGAGGGCCCTTTTGCCCCCTTGAATTTGAAAGCTGCTCTTGCGCTGGTCCAGTTTTCTGTTGGGCGTCGTACCTGATTGTCTCTGTTCTGCCTCGCTTCTCCTTCCGTGAAGAATAGTTCCTGCTGTTGACTCCCAAGTGTCCCAATTTGATGGATGTAGGAAGTGTGCACTGATTGTATGTATGTATATGCTTGTTTAGGTTTTTCTTTGTTGTGTTTTGTTCTATTTAAGAGATACTTAGGCTAGCTAGAGTGCTTACGTTAATATTAGAAATATGCAAAATTTGAGATTCAAACATGGCATGAGCAAGAGCTCATTTATAAGGGGAGATAAAGGGATATTTACCTGTTAGATTTGTATCCTGCATTTTTTAAGAGCTCAAGGTGGTGTACACACCGCTCATTCATCACATTCTTTTTCCCCATATCAACATCCCTATGGGATAGGTTGGGATTGAAAAAGAGAATGACTGGACCAAGTCACCTGGTGAGCTTCTTTGGCTGAGGGTGGACTTCAACCAGGGTCTTCCCAGTGCTAGTCCCAGCATCTTAACCACTGTAAGATATTGCCTGTTCAGGAATGGTGTAAAAGCTCTACAGAACAAAATGAAGCTCCTCAGATACTTGGCTGTTAACAGAAAAGCAGTTTCATGAGCCCTATTGAGGCAGGAAATTCCAAAATCTGGGCACCTCAGCTGAGAAGGCTATGTTCAGTCAGCCATGTATCAGGCAGGATCTATTAGTAGATCCCAGTGATTGGTTGGGTTATCTGGGAGAGATTGATCTTTTAAATAAAGTCAGATGTATCTTTGTCTTAATAAGTAATCTTATGTTTATAAAAATACCCTAATTTAAAAACTTGGTTCTGCAGTATTTTTCTGCTAAAGTTTTAGGTATTGTTTGTTTTATTAGTAATAATCCTCCTGGATGTGTGTAAGGTGTATGTGATGATGACTACATCTCCAAGAATCTAAGCTGAACAAAAGCATTCCTGTGCACAATTGTTACATCAGCATCCAGGAGCAAAATATTCTCAGATCTTGACCCTAATTTTTCAAGAAAAATGCAGTTTCATCAAGGCTATACCTGTACTCTTGTGTCAGCTTTTCTACTGAGCAGTAGTTTGTTCCCAAATTCAGAGGCTTTTTTTTTTCTGCTCCCAATTACCAGTTGAGAACATATCCTGGTTTCCAAATAATGATTATATGAATAATGTGAGCGAAGGCTATGGGATGCCTTCCAAAGGTTTTGTACTCAAGTAAGCTTCAACCAGCATGGTCACAGATCTAAAAATTTGGATGGGAACGAAGTATAGTATCTACCTCTGTAGTAAGAACTTTCAGGAACTGTTTTGTGCTATCATATCTTGCAACATAATCCTCTTGGAAGAATCACAAAAAGTGTTGCTGATATCTCACTCCATCACATT